CTAGAGTGTCCACACGCTAAAAAAAAGTGACTTTTCGTGCAATCAGGGGCCATAATTCATGAAGTTTCAATCCGATACATGCCAATATCGAAAGGAACCTAGATCTTTTGGGGATAAACCTATATTTCAAGTCTCGTCAAAATCGGATAAGAATTGTGACCTGTATAGTGTCCACAAACAAATTGTGGATGGACGACCGGACGGACAGGGGTGACGACAATATACGTCCATATGAAAATGTGGGCGTATAAAAATATCTATGGGCGTATAAAATTATATGAGAACCATATAAGATAAAACATAATACATTACAATGGAAACGAGGCTAATTGAGATGACGTCACGCGCTGGGTGGAAATTCTTGGGTGAAAATTATAAAAGTCAAAATATATTAAAATTGAAAATTATAAAAAACAAATTATATTAAAATTGACTTGGGTGAAAATTATAAAAAAACAAATTATATTAAAATTGACTTGGGTGAAAATTAAAATTGACTTGGGTGAAAATTATAAAAAACAAATTATATTATTTTTCATGTCACTTATCAGCCACCGTAGCAATGGCCGATGAGGAGTTCGCATCGTAAACATTGGTTTTCTTTTCGTATTTTAGCAGGATAGTAGAGGAATACACTGCAACAAGAAATTTATTTTATGTTTATTTTCGATAACATTTTATAGGATGTTTTCGGTAGTCATCCGTAATAGACTAAAATCATTGTTTAAGATTGTTATGTGTAAGATAACTTTTCCATAATACTAATTAATATGGGTTAATGGGGAAAATATGTGGTGGGGTGAAGTGCGATGTGGGGCGAAGTATGTTGCGGGTTGGGGGTTGAGTTAATGTCCAGTGTTTCAGATCATGTTAATAAAGTTCATATTTTTGTCATTGTTTTAGTTTTTGATTAAACGATTTCGGAATGGAAGCACTGTGCCAGGCAAGACGGCAGTGTCGGACTGGGCCCACCTGTCCACCTGTCCGTTACAGGTGGGCCTAAGCTCATTAAAAAAAAAATGGGCCTAAGCCTATAAAGAAAAAGAAAAAAGAGAAAGAAAAAAAAAGGAAAAAGAAAAGAGAAAGAAAGGAGAGGGGGGGGGGAGAAAAGAAAGAAGGAAGGAAGAAGAGGATAGGACACAGGCTGTGTCCTGTCCTCTCCTTCCTTCTTTCCTAATGATAGTGTTCTTAGGTCATTCTGTTATCTAATTGTATCAGGAAATCAAAAATGTGCCTTCTTCTGCTTTGGTCTGAAATGCTTGGAAAATGGGTTTGCGGTAGTCAATTTTCAAAATTTTCTTGATGGGAGACCCCCCCCCCCCCGGCAGACGCTCGCTCGCCTTCGGCGCGCTAGTGACGCCACTTCGACGCGTACTTGTGTGGGCCTTAGTCAATGACCTGACAGGTGGGCCTTCGACCCACCAGTCCGGCACTGCAAGACGGTAATTCAGAGGAAAATATACTATTTACGGCTGTTATACTTGTACCCACTTGGCCTAATATCATTTTATTATTTGTAGTTGTTATATTCGTACTTTTGCTCCTGTTTGCTCACTACACTTATTATTTTAGCTTTTCCGAGATTCTATCCAGATTATCGCCCTTATTGTTAAAATTGTTTGACGTTCTAACTCATGACGTCAACTGGCAGACTATCGCCATTGAGGAGACGACCACTGTCAAGATTGGTCGCATTATTTCTGTTACGTCTGTTTTGTATTCCTGATTGTTTTCAAATTTGAGTGAAGTCTGTGTCACTACAGGCCCGGGACTGTACAGCGCAGTGGACGCTTACCGCTGGCCCCCGGATCCATTCACTTGATTTGATATTTGTTTATTTGGTGCAATGTCTATTTTCTGTCTTTTCCGCAGGTTTATCTTGTAGATTTTTGTTTTACGTGTAGTGAGGTCCTCCTGCACTTACTATTATAGTCATTTGTCCCAATATCATTTTATAATTAATATATGTATATGTATAATATTAAATCGGTTGTTGTGTAGATTTATATGATCGAGATATTGGTCGGATCTTGAAACTGTAAACTACAATCGATATCGATAATCAGAGATTTTAACGCTTTAATATTTTTAAATGACAAAACAAAAAAAACAAACCGAGATCTGTATACATGTTTAAAAATCATATTTTGCTCGAAAACTCATTTTAACGTCATCCGGTTAAGGTTCGATCTGTTAAAACGCCCAGTCGGAGAAAATGTTTTCTGAAAGACGGAACGATTTTGTTTTCCAACTTGATCTATCATGTGTTATCTATTTTTGTGATGTACCCTATTCATTATAATCTCCCCTTTTATTGCTTTATTGGAAGGTTGGGTGGCTGAATGGTTAGCATGTGCGCGCTTTATCACAAGGCCTGTCATTGAGTCAACTGGCCTGGTTTCGAAGCCCCGGTTGTACGTGACAAGGAGTAGGGTCGCCTGTCCAACCTCGTGGGTTTTCTCCGGGTCCTCCGGTTTCCTCCCACAGCTAAAGACCCCTACGCGCAAGCGAATTATTGAAATAAAATTAAACCATATTTTAGTCCCGAAATGACCTAGTTTGTGTCGAGTGGACGTCAAGTCCCATCTCTCTCTCTCTCTCTCGCTCGCTCGCTTTATTGGAAGGTTGGGTGGTCGAATATTTACGGCATGTGTGTATTCTTGTAAGGTCAAAGCGGGGAATCGAAACCAAGCCACTTGATTCAATGACAGACTGTCTTATCCAACGCGCATGCGTTAAACCATTCGGTCACTCAACCCCTCAGTGCATGGCGCATGCCCGTCGTCATTAAACTGGTTGCAATAGGCCGGTGGGGACATAAAAACCCTCAATAAGGCTTGAATAAACGCTGTGTGGAAATAACCCAATGACCTGATTACGGTTGTGTAGTACAACCTTGACTGGAAATAGGCCAATCCATCATGATGACTGTTCAAAGTTTACATTGAAAGGTGATACCGAAAACACTTTGGCTGGCGATTGGTCTGCATTTAAAAGCATCTTACGATTAACTTGTAAACCTAGGGGTAGAATGCTGAATAGGCTTTTGCGATTACCTTATTCGGGAAAGACACCCTTTGCTGAAAGACGCACTGATGCAAATAGAAAGAGAGAGTTAACTAAGCTATTTCGGGACTATCACATGGTTGAATTTTAATTCTTTAGCGGTGGGAGGAAATTTAACCTAGTAGTCCCGTGTTCGATCCCGGTGTTGGCCGAGAAAGTTCATCGGGAATTTTCCGCCGTGGTTCCCCATAGTCAGTGATGTAGTACAGAGGGTCTAACAAGGGTCAGCGCATAGTCGTTCGGATGGGGTTAAAAAAACAAGGTCCCGTGTACACATTGGCGTGCACACAAAAGAAACGTTGGTAGTTTGAATTCCTCATAGCACACTGTATGGCGTAAGCCCGTCTTCATTATCCCAGTTGGAGCAGAACAGTAAGACTTTAAACCCAATTTAAGTTCATTTCGTTCTTCCAATGGGTACGGAACGGCGATTGGGGCTATATTAACTAGCCAAGCGATACGTCTAGGCGAACCTGTTTTCTTAAGCGTCAAAGTCCTTTTTTGGTCTTTCATAATATGTCCCTTATCCGAGAGGTGTTCATATTCTCTTCACAATATTCATATAACTATAATATATCTCAATCCAAATACGTAATTCGACATAACCTTTGTTTTTATTGTAATCACTGTCAATCAATCACTGTCAATAGAAAACATAACAAAGAACCTATTTCAATCAAACCATAGACAATACACGACATAGCATTAAACTTATTGCAATCTAGCCATAGAAATTATACATTTCAATCAAACCATTGACAATACACGACATAACATTAAACTTATTGCAATCTAACCATAGAAAATATACATGACATAGAACTTATTTCAATCAAACCCTAGAAAATACATGACATCGCATGGAACTGATGTCAATCAAACCATAGAAATTGAACTATTCCACTGTTGTATAATGTGTAGCGATTTGTCTTGGAGTGGAACTCACATATAAATGGAAATATTCCACTGTTGTAGAAGGTTTAGCGATTTGACTATGCGTGGATCTCACATTGAATGGATTCATATTGTACAAACTATTTCACAAAATTTACTTTCAGTAAGATATATTTTAAAATATTTTATTAAACATACCATAAATCATATCAAATGTTCAACAAAGTTAAGTCATAAGTTACCATATTTGATCAGATCCCCCTCCTCTGGTGAACACTTGATGTGATTTATATATGTGTAATAAAATATGAGGGTCACGGTGGCTAAGTGGGTAAGACGCTGGCTCGCTAGCCTGGAATCGGGTGTTCGATCCCTGCAATGGCCGAGAAAGTTCATCAGGATTTTCCAGCGTGGTTCCCGCTTGTCAGTGATGCAGGACGGAGGGCCTGCTAGTCGTTCGGAATGGGACGAAAAACCGATGTCCCGTGTACACATTGGCTTGTCAGTGATGCAGGACGGAGGGCCTGACAAACACAGCTGTCTAGTCCTTCGGATGGGACGAAAAACCGAGAACCCGTGTACACATTGGCGTACATGTAAAAGATCCCTTGACAGTTGGAATTCGATATAAAAGTAGGCTGTAGAGCCGCTGCCCGGGCAAAATTTCCCTCATAGCACACTGTATGGGGTATACCCGTCTTCATTACCCCAGTTAGGAGCTGATGGACGTTAAACCCCCATTTCATTTCACTTCATTTTGTAATAAAATATTTCAACATCGTACTTCAGGTATAGATTGTGAAATAGTGTGTGCAATGAATCCATTCTATTAAATAGACGATCTTTATAAATAGGACCGAACTGTTTGCTTACACCAAGGACAACGCCCCATATTACAAACTCGGTTGGTAGAAGCCAGACAACATGTGCAAGATGAATCCATTTCATTGGATATGATTGCGCAATTATGATAATAGAGTCGATATGTTTACTTAGAGAAAGGACCATGACCCAAGCACACACACCCCATCAGTAGAAGCCCGACAACTCATAAGTGAACTACAGGCCTTACTGATCAGTCGATCAAAATGGTTTCAAGAATTATTTTAGTTGCTGTTGTATTTGCATCAGGTAGGATTGCATAACTAAATAATTGGTTGTCTTTGATTTAGCTAGAAAGTGGTGGCGCGGTGAGTAATTTAGCTAGATATTGAAATTTAGCTACAGATTGTTCTGCCCCGATTAGGTTAATGAAGACGGACAAACGCCATGTAGTGTGCTACTGTCCGGGCAAAATTCCTCTCTTAACACACTCCATGGAGTATGTCTGCCTTAACATAAGACCAGTGGGTGCAGAACAGTAGGGCGTTAAACCACATTTCATTTAAATTATTTTTTTAACTAGTGAGCCAGTGGCTTACTCGCTGAGTGACCTCGTCCGTTGGTTCGTTCCTTGAGTCTTTACGTCCGTTTCACCTAGTGTGATATCGCAGACACGAGGAAAAATCGGTTATACCTCAACAGTAGTTGTATACGAACATAAATTCGTGAATGGGAACAGATTGCCGTTCGGTAAACCAATTAACAATCAATTAAATTCCATTTTAATTTGGAACCAAATCAAGAAACTTAACTGATACCCCCGTTGGGTAACTGTACAAAGTTCACAAAAATCGCTCCAAAACTGTTCTATGTAACGTTACAAGTTCACAAAAATCGCTCCAAAACTGTTCTATGTAACGTTACAAGTTATTGCTGATGGTAGATGAATGAACTGACGGATAGACCCAAGGTGTCTTATAATTTTGTAAAATTGTAATCCTGAACTATTTTACAGTACTACAGACAACAAATTCTGAATCATGCAATACTGAATCGCTTAAAACTACTTGTAAATTTCCTGGTACGACACAATTCCCGACCACGGAAGAAGAAATTAAAACTGCTTGCGGGTACGTAAAACTGAAATCAAATCGGGTTTAACCCATAGAAGCCCATATGGGACAATGGCTTTTGTTTCTACATTCAAGCTGGGGTTTTTTAAATTGTAATTATCTGTGATATAGAAATGTTACAAGTCAATTTTTTGTTTCAAAAATTTCTTTCGTTCGCAAAAATTTGCAAACAGGAATGCCGAAACAAAAATCATTAATATTGCCCCATTTGGTCTTTCATAGACTTTCATAACTGCCCCATTTTCAGCAACAGCCTGGCTAATGAAGGCGAACATCCATCACGAGGGAAATGTTGCCGAACAACGGTGTTTGCGCCCATTCTTCGTCGAATTACTTTTATCAATAGTTCTTTAACGTGCACGACCATGGTCTGTCATCCTCGGTATCTTCAATGGTCTCATTCTGTTCCGCACCCCTCAGCCACGGGTTCATTCATAGTGGAGACACGTATTAAAATTATCTGTCCTTGATGTTTGTGCTAATTGTATCGACCAAGTTAAAACAAAATCGTTAAATACCTAATAACTAACACAAATCTAACATCTTTACCATCAAAAACATGCTTGTGAAATCTTTATTTTATGTGAAATTTCTTGCAAACGTTCACATAATCAAACGAACAATACGCCACATTGTTGGCCGAGATCAACCTGGTACACTATACTATACAGTGCTTGGACTAGGTGGAAATTAGCCATTTTTCCTCAAATTTAGGAATGCGACCCCCACAGACAATACAGTTCTGTTGAAGAGAATCTTGTCATCAACTTGTCAAAGACAATATGTTGTAGCCTAATTATCTGATACAGATGATGTGGTGTTTAGGGCATGCTAAGTATCATATTACACTGCTCTATATTTAGATGCGTTTGGAGCAGTTTCTATATGAGACTTAATTCACATTCAAATTAAATGCAGAAAAAAAACCCCCAAAATTAAAATAAAAATTAAATAAATAAAAATAACATTTGATTCAAATATTACATAAAGTTATACTAAGCTTTTTATATTTTAAATTTGATGTAATAGAAGGAATTTATTGCATAAAAAAATTACAAGGTTATGTGCATATACAAATAAAAATAATAGAAAGATACATGCAGTAAGCAAAGATACATATATACATGTACATAATTATACAAAGATACACAACTTTATAAAGACATGAACGAATTGTATACAAAAGCTCCCAAACATTCTAAAATGTCTACATTTTTATTAATCATCAGTATCTTAAATTATTGAGAGCCACGGTTGCTAAGTGGGTAAGACACAGGCTCGCTAGCCTGGAGGTCGTATGTTCGATCCCTACATTGGTCTAGAAAGTTCGTTGGGATTTTCCGGCCTGGCTTCCCCTTGTCAGTGGTGCCGGACGGGGGAACTGACAAGGACAGCCGCCCAGTCGTTCGGATGGTACCAAAACCGACTGCCAGGGTATACATTAGCGTGCACGTAAAATATCCCTCGGCAGTAGGAATTCGATATAAGAGTAAACCATGGTGCAGCTGCCAGGGCAAAATTCCTCTAATAGCACACTGTATGGCATATGCTCGTCTTCAGTAGATGGACATAACAAGCTAACAAAAAGGCGTTTTTTTGTACAATCGGTCATAATCCAGCAAGTTACGGTCTGCAGTACCAACATTAGGAACCCAGATCTTAGGGATATAAATATATAACTGGATAAAAATTGTGACCTCTAGAGGATCCACAAGCGTAAAACGAGACCCGGTCTGGTACATGCCAATATCGTAAGAAACCAAGATCTTTGGGAGATATGCCCATATTTCAAGTTCTGTCAACATCTGATAACAATTGTGACCTGTTGAGTGTCCACAAACAAATTATGGCCGGACAAATGGACAGTGGCGACAGCAGTATACATCCACAAGAACATGTAGTATAAAAATCAGGATCGGATGAAATGAGCCCTCTCAAATTAAAATAACAGCTCTGGTCTGGTATCTGTGTTCTTCCTTGAATAAAAAGAATATATGTTATGTATTAGGTTGGTTAGAATATTGGTTATATGACAGTCTCCATATGTAACAGTGTTAAGCTGTTATCTATCAACTTCAACTTCATCATGAAGTTAATTCACCATATTAAAATGACAGTTTAAGAAATGTTACTTTAATTTTAAAATGAAATGCACAATTTAAATTTTATCTAGTTAACTATTTGCAAATTCTGTACGAAAATACACACTACTACAGTACATGTACTTTGTCTCTGGTTTAAACATGCAAACATTATCCAATTAAACTACATAATACATATGTTCTGTTTTCAGAAAGAATATAATATAGCTCACCTTTATTGAAAGATTTCAATTCTTTATTCTGGCATCCACTACCATTCTTTTTAATGATAAAACTTGTTTTTTGGAATAAATAAACAACTGATTCCCCAGAAATGATACCGATTATAATAAATGATGTCATTTGATACCCCCAATAGCAGGCAGGTTTATAGTTGTCAACATATAAGGGTAATAATGCTTTCAAGTCGGACAGGTTGTTTAGGTTAGCATACCAGCCAATTAAATGTCAGTGAACTGGACCCAACACAAACATCCAAAATTTAGCCCCTTTTCTGGAGCTGGTCTATACACTGTATAAGGATATTCACCACACGACAAGCAGAAATCAAGCTGGCACGCAATAAGAAGTTCACTGGACGACCGTGGCGGCAATGAAATCACGTGATTGGTATAGCTAATCTACTGAGCCTTCGACAAAAAACATAAATTGAAAGTATTGTCTATTTTTAGTAATTAGGTTACTGTGGACAGTGACCCAATTCTTTCGACAAAACAATGAGGATTTTCTCTTCTAAAGTACGTAATTACTGCTTATCGTATGGTGAATATCCTGATAGTGTGCTGGGTTATAGTGTGCCAGATTTTGAACGTAAACAATGCGGCTAAGACCGATATGTAATCTGTTTCTTGATTGCTCTACACACTCTAGCTAGGATCAAGGGAAGATAATTTAAATACGTGAATACCCAATGGAATCAGACTAGCAATTATTTGCCCATTGACTTCAATGTTAAATGGCTGTAACATCACAGGCTGTAGCTTTTTGCTCAACATTCCGTTGGTTCCAATCTTTATAGGCACAATGGGGACCACATTTGGCAATATACTCATCATAAATTTGTAGGGGGTTGACCATTTAGATTTTTTGCTACGGGGATTTGAAGTTGACTGGGGTGAAAATCTCACTTCCGACACAAATATTGCTCTGCAGAAAGCCACTTTACACCCCTTATCCCTCCCTGTAATATCATCAGTATTACCCAAAACTGCTATGAAATTGCAAATTTGATCCCCTTTCTCCAATTCTAGACCATGCAGGAAGAGGGCAGAAAAAAATTAAGGGAAAAATTGTTTATTTATAACTCGCCCATCATGAAATAAGGGGAAATAATTACTAGTCTTAGTCCCAATAGATGAACCCAGACACTGTCCTTGGCATGCTTTCCGTTCTGCACCACTTACTCGATATCTCCTGGTTAGTAAGCCACCGTGGCCCTTATTAATGCGACTATACTATACTTGATTCGTTAAAAATATTTTATTCAACAAACAGAATGTGATTGATCTAGAAATTAAACAATCTAATTACAATACAGATTTATATTTCGTTTCGTTTTTTATACATTCGATGCCCTACACTACATGAAAATCTGACCGGTTGTAGTGGAAGGTCGCGTCAGAGGTGATGCGAGCGACATTTGACCCTATGGCGTCAGACATTTGATTAACCAATCAGCGTTTATGTTTCTAGTGGGTTACCCATATTTCCCTGCACCTCACACCAACAACTCACCGTAACAGACCGTTTTATTGACTAATCCCTTACATCATCCAGAACGCGGGTTAGTAAAGACTAGTAAAACGAAATTTTGAACTATAAAAAACGAAACGAAATAGGACTGTATTTTAATCAGATTGGAAATTAAAAATAGTCATATATAGATAATAAACAATGGCGGATTTTGTTACAGACATTTATTGGGCTGTAAAGCTATGGCACGTTTTCATGATTAAAGATACATCATGTAAGGGCTAAATCTTTATTTTGACCCTCAAATGTTATATTATAAACTATTATTTATGCATATGTCAAGCGTATAATCAACTATCTGGACAATCGATTTGTTATACTATTGGTTCTTGATAACAACGCTGATTTAACTTCATATCATGTACCAAACTCCTTATTTAATCACTAAGGTCCCACTGTTCGGGCTCCGACTGGGCTAATGAAGACGGGCATACACCATACAGTGTGCTATGAGGGAAATTGTGCCCGGACAGATGCGCTACGACGTACTCTTATATCGAATTCAAACTGCCAAGTGATCGTTTACGTGCACGCCAATGTGTACGCGGAACCTCGGTTTTTCGTCCCATCTGGACGAATAGACAACTGCCTTGTCAGTCAGGTCACGACTGACAAGGGGAAACCACGCCGGAAAATCAAGAGTCAGCGTCTTACCCACTAAGCCATCATATAACGTACTCACTGATATACCTTACGACCTAAGTGCACGTTATTGACTAACATTCTATTTTAAGTATGGCCATACTTTAGTTTATTCTTTGGAACCAAGGTGCTTGCTCCGTACAGTGTGTTAAGAGGGACATTTTGCCCCGACGGGCAACTAATTTCCAACTGTCAAGGGGCTGAGTTTTTCGTCCCATTCCATCAACACCCAGAGGACACAAACTACATAATTTCGGTACTAACATAAGGCTTTAACTGTATTTCAATAATTCGCTTAGAAGTGAAAGGAAATCGGAGCATCTGGTGAAAACCCACGAGATCGGACAGGCGACCCTAATCCTTGTCTCAATGGCTGACCTTACGATCTAAAGCGCACCAAACTCGGAGTTACTTTGTTATACTGTTTGCCATTGCTCCTTCTGAAGATGCATTTTGGTTTATAATTGTTTTCCATATTTGCATCGGAAATACCTTGCTATAATGTTTGCCATTGCTTCTCCTGAAGATGCATTTTGGTTTGTAATAGTTCTCCATATTTGCATCGCAGATACTTTGCTATAATGTTTGATAACGATAACCATATTATAATTGTTTATAAGTGTGACTAATTGTCCTGGCACAATTTCCCTCACAGCACACTCTGCATGGAATATGTCCGTCTTAAATAACCCGGCTGGTGTTGGCAAAAACGAGTGAACCAATCCCCCCCCCCCCCTTGTCCAATTTAGTATACGGCGTTTTCAGTTCCGCCCTAAAATAGATTGTCATTAATGTGTGTTCATCCAACTATGTTTTCCAGACTTTTCAAGACATATTTCGCCTGTGTTGATACAGAAACATCACCTTGTTCTCAAACTTTCAAGGACGAAATTCAAACCACAGCACTGGACCTTATTCAGCCCACTTATAATGAAAAATGTGGCGGTAAGTAGATGGAGTTGTCTCTAAAGCCAGTCTCACACGAGCGGACACTACCCTGACATTATTTTTATTTAGGATATCTGAATGGGATTTGGGAACAGGCTTAGCATTTGTAAAACCCCTCTCCCTTTGCGTCGGTAATGTGTGGGATGATCTGTGGTGACGTCACAGGGACGAAGCGTAACCACGTAGTGAGGCAGTACTGCTGCTCTCCTCACATGGTGCATGCCTTGTCCATCCGTCGTCCGAATATATAGCGACGCAGGCCATGCGTTGAAAATGGACAAATTTGCCTACCAAGCATCGTTTAACCATCAGGACTTTATAAGTTAATCATGAGGCAGAACGAATGACGGGTTTCGTGTACTACATAGATTGCTGAATCCCTCTCGACCACCTTAGACGGTATTTCATTGGTTGTTGGGGAGTACATGTATTTAAACCAATCGTAATATCAAATAGAGCAGGTTGCTTTTGGGTAATAATATACACTTAATACCTCTAAACTACCTTATAACACCTCCCAAGTATTTGAGGAACTCACATAAATAAATATTTTCGGTGTAGGCTACGTATAATAAAAATATTATACTGTTTATACAACCTATACTGCTTATATAACTTATACTGTTCATATAACTACTGTTTATATATATAAGGCACACTGTTTATATAATTATACAGATTATATGGCTACTGTTTATATAATTTATACTGTTTATATAACTTATACCGCTTATATAAATTATATTGTTTATATAACGTTTAAAACTTATACTGTTTATAGTACAGTAGGACATTAAGACACATTTCATTACGAAGAGAATATAGACTGAAATAATCGAGACAAAATGCGTCACGGTACTGATTCCATTTAAATTTTAATTTCAGGTATGGTGATTAATCCACTGAATATTGGTGTATACATTATTATTGCTTTGGCTAAATTGACCTTCGACAGATACATGTAAATCTTCCCTGGAAAGAAAACATCGTTGATATGTATACATAGAGTAGCCGTACTTTTAGATACAATAGATCAGTCGCTTCTAGTGACCAATATAATTAAAACATCACATTTCCTTTCGTTTAATGTATGATTTGTTACATCGGTAGGCCATTTAATGTTTGATTTCTTATCTCGATAGGGCGTTTTAAAATTGAATTATCTCGATAGGGCGTTTTATAAATGATTTGTTACCCCGTCAGGGCGTTTTATGAATAATTTGTTACCTCGATAAATATCAGCTTATAAACCACCTCCGGTTGCAATCCAGTTTGTTTATATTAATACAAAGGTTCGTATAAGCTGAATTGTAATAGTCAAAATGTTAAAAATATTGTCATTTTCAAGATTTTTACTGAAAAAAAGTAATAAATTCGTTGTCATGTCGGATAATGTTTTGTTGAATGAGTCACATCATCGAACCTTGAGACTGAGATCGCCACATGTCTTACTAGGTTTTGAATAGCGAGATGGGGCTTGGAGGCGGGTTCGGGAAAAAGACGAGGCTTGGAAGTAGGCGGGGTTTAGGGTCGGTGAATTATCATCGGTTGTTCTCAGCTCGATAACAGGAAATCTAAAAACTGTTTCTAATAAAATAAAACCAAGTACGAACAATCCAAACCATAAGACAGAATTCGAAGTCCTAAAAAACGTTATAGGCAAAACCAGCACCAATGTCATTTCGCCTATTTTATTCTCAACTGCTTCAGGATAACTGGAAACCACATTTAATGGTGTAAAACGTACTACTTTGCCTATTCTTCGTCACATTCCATTTGAAAGTGGTTCTTTACCAGTAGCTACCATGTACGTTGCTCCTTGCCAGAGCCTGCGTCCTGCACCACCGACAAGGACAAACCAGTCTGGAAGATCGTAATAAACTTTCTCGACCAACACATTAGGATTGACCCCGAACCTTCTGGTTAGTGAAGCAGTTTGTATAAATCAAGAAAGCGACACACATATTTTTTTCGTGTAATAATCAAAAACATAATAAATACATAGTATACATTTATAGTCATACATTATATACACACAATATAATATAGTCATACACCGGGCCCAAAGTTCACAAAGCATGTCCATACTTCAGTTAAGAATTAACCCAGAATTGTTCACCTTATTTTAACTCAAATATAGCCCTTTATAAAACTTTTGTTATTTTAATGTGTCAGATACATCAATAAGAAACTATGTGCAAAGTTTTGTGTTTCTGGATCAAAGATTTTTATCATAAACAGTGATTGAAAGTTGATTAAATTCTTAACTTAAATATGAGAATCCTTTGGGACCTCGGGGTCAGATATTAATTTATAGTCATTCGTCATATATACACAGTATATAGTCATACACCAGATATAAATAGTATATATTTATAGTCATACATCATATACACAGTATAATATAGTCATGCCTTAAATATACATAGTATAATATAGCCATGCACCAGATATACACAGTATATAGTCATGCACCGGATATACACAATATATAGCCATGCACCAGATATACACAGTATATAGCCATGCACCAGATATACACGGTATAATATAGTCATACACAAGATATACACAGTATACTATAGTCATACACCAGATATACGCAGTATAATATAATCATAAACCAAATATACAGAGTATAATATAGTCATACACCAGATATACACAGTATAATATAGTCATACACCAGATATACACAGTATAATATAGTCATAAAGTGGCCTCTGTCCAAGGTGTGTAATAATTTTGATACAGTCATAAGCCTTTCTTACAGGTACTGTAGTCTTAAACATCCGTCACCATCTTTGGCTTTCACCTTCTCCAGTCGTGAGGATGGGGTATAAGGAGGGGTATAGCCTAGGGCCTCTCTTCATCTGAATCTGGAACTGGTAAACTGTAATTATATTCCATAGAATAGCGACTTCGTGTATTTCAAGTTTAATTACTACTGGTAAATACCAGCGAAACAATTTAATAATTACGTCTGGTTTTAATCTGATACAAACACGTACACAGAATCATAATCAGTAATTATAAAACATAATCTAATGGACGAATTCGGCAAATGTGAGCAATAGCGAGTACACGATCTACATGACCAACATGTAAAATATCTTACATGTATTTTATACAACACAGAACAATATTGCAAGACAAATAAATGAATTATCTCCCTTAGTTTATCAGGACCCGCTTGTACTCGCGATAAACTGCTGTTGCAGGGCCATACTTTTTGCCGAAAAATCAATTTCTTGCAACCACAGTTTATCGCGTCTTACATGGGTGCTAGATATTAGGATGCTACGCATCTTGGCAAAAAAAATTAATTCTTTAGAACACGAAACTGTCTGGAAGTGGTCATTCATGATTCCTGTGGTGGCACCGAACAACTCCAGAGCTGTTTTAGGTGGTACAGATTTTAGCTAATCGAGCCTAGCTGTGGTCTGGAAATTAGTTAACTCTTGTCAGGGATACTCCCCCACTACAAATGTCTGGCAACTACATAGATCTGTCAAGGGTGCCCCACGGCTAGAAATGGCCGAATGGTTAACACGTGCGCGCTGTATCATAAGGTATGTCATTGAGGCAACAGGCGTGGTTTCGATTCCACCGTTTTACGTGACAAGGAGTACGTTTACCTGTCTGACCTCGTGGGTTTTCTCCGGGGTCCCCTGGTTTCCTCCCACTGCTAAAGACCCTTACGCGCAAACGAATTATTGAAATAAAATTCTCCCTCTCTCTCTCTCTCTCTCTCTCTCTCTCCTATTACTCCAAGTAGCAATGCAAAAGCTCGCTAGAGGCGCCATTGATACAATTTTAACAATGTCAAAAATATTGACCCTAAAATGTGTCGTTTTTGTTCCGCGACTTCATTAAGTTGTATGAAGACCAACATCGATGACTTTGCGCTTTTCGTGTTGAGACGAAAACAGAGTTGTGTCGAGCTAGGTTTGACATTCAGAAACGTATTTACGGAAAAGGAAAAAAAACGGCGCTCGTTACTGAAAGTAGACATATTTTATCATAGAAAGACACCTATATCAAAGAAAATAAATTATATTACCCAAATTTAAAATTTCCAATAAATACTTAATGGGGAAGGATGTTTCCTGAAAATTTGATGAGTATATTTTCAATAGTTGCTGAGAAATTGTCTTCGGTCACTTAATTTGCAAATTTAGAAAAAAAGTATATACTGACATCGATCAATTTTTGGTCATAAAAGTGCAATAACATTCTTATTTCTTATTCGATTTTAAAGGGGGGGGGGGGGGTGTTCTTAAATGGGAGGAAAACTAGTAAATATTCAAATTTAGTCAGATTCAAAAATTTAAAAAATCTTTAGCAGTGCTATATTAAGATCACTGTGCTCTATTTGACAATGTTTTCTGTTAAAACGGATAGCAACACGCCACACAGCTAACCTTATGGATCCTGGTACAATATTTTCTTACACCCCTGTCATCTCTCGGCATCGAGTATCTGTTACTATCTAAAGCTTACACACTAGTGTTGAAGGGGTCGTTCGTTCCTGGAATAATATTCCCTTGCACAACTGCTCCAATATTTTTTAAGAAAAAAAATCATCTGTTCGTCTTATAACATAAAACGAAACATACATGGATAAATGGAAACATTTTCAACAAATAACACACTGCACTATTTATGGGATCGCAAATTTATCTTTTTTTAATGGAAATCGGATACATATACCTTTTCCGTCTTCATTAGCCCAGTCTTAGCAGAAAAGTGGGACGATAAATCCCATTTCATTACATTTTTGATTTCCTAATGAGATCGACGAATTTATTACAAATGTTTTTTACAACGCACGTAATGTCGGTACTAGTACATCTCCAAAGAATATCTGACAAGATGACACACTGGAATTAAAGAATTCATTGTAGAATTAGGTAATATATAAATATATTCCTTAAGTGACATTTAGCATTGAACACAATAAAAAACAAACACAACACAATTCATTTGGAAAACAAATCACGTATCTGTACACATATAACACGGCATTTCGAGCATAAAACTTTCGCCGTGTTTGTTTTAATACATATGAAAATAATATATTTTAAAAAAGGTACAAGGCCTATCAGAAACCAGTCTGAACCAAACACGACCATCTGTTTATCGTTTTATTAAACTTTCGGATTAATGTTCGTTTTGATTTCCGTTTGTAATGTATTATACATAATTCGTTCGATGTTTTCGATCGCTTTTAAGTTAAGTTAAATATTACATAGTCTAGCGTATCACGTAATAATAGTTCCTCGATGTTTCACTGTTCAAATGTTCATCTGGGTATTCCTAATACTTAACGGTCATATTTCTTTTCACCATTTAGAAATAATTGTGACACTAACAATTACGGTCTGATCGGGGTAACATCCGCTTCTTCACGAGTTGATATCATTGCCTTTTGACAATGTTCGGGTAGGGTTAACGTCCGCTTTCTCAAGTTGATATCGTTGTCTTAAGACAATACATCAGCTAGCTAGCTGTAAGTAGTAGGAATCACAGAAATAATAGAAACTGAAACGACTGAACACATCGTCATCCGCCAATTACCCGATTATTTCAGGTTACAGGACTGTCTTTGTGGATATCACTCTCGGGGCTATCTCTGTGATTATCTCTCTTGGGAATGACCTTGTGATTCTCTCCCTTAGGACTGTTTTTGTGATTCTCTCCCTTAGGGCTATCTTTGTGCCTAATTTTATGACCATTGTGACCGTTATTGAATTGTCGTTCCGGCGAATCTTTTTCATGTTCCTCAAAACTTCTCTTTTTGCCGATGTCATGCATTCTATCACGTGCCTTCGTTAAAGTTCTATTGACGTCATGAATTTTCTCCACCGCCTTTTCACGTGCTTTTCCTCTGGCTTTTTCTAAATTGACCTTCGCTTTTCCGATCTGTTGATTAAAGAATTCGATGGCGACATTAATCGACATGGATATCAGAGATAATCCAATAAAAACATAAACAGACGACAGCAAAAAGAATTTAGGGTGGGCCGGGATAACATCGCCAAATCCTATCGTGCTTATAGAAATAAAGACGAAGTAGATAGCTTCGATGTACGTCCAATCTTCCCACAAGGTGTACATGCCAGCTCCGAGAAACAGATACAAAACAATGATAAAAGCTACCACAAATATCGGTATGTTAAACTCCGTACTGATCTCATAACCAAAATACACTTTGACCCCGGGTCGGACTTCTGTACCGTTAGCAACCTTTGTCCCGGCTTCCGCGTCGGTAATATCCAGTCTGTGACGAGTTCGAACTCTGTTACAGCATTTCCAATAGTACACTTGTCTCACAAATGCATAAACAAACTTGAGACCAACTGTGAATTTTTTACCTAGATCTGCCAGGGCTATTAAAGCTAGCGGGATGCCAATAGCAGCGTATATAATCGTCAAGACTCGACCTAAATTAGTTGCTGGTGATATATGACCATAGCCTACAATCAGAAAAAAAACAAAACATTAAAAACGTCGTGTTCTACAAAATGGTACCATGCCCTACCCAGTGCACTATACCACCCACACCTTGCAGCCAAGGGGGGTCCTGGTGTTCATATCAACGGAACTGCGTCTAGTCGTTCAGATGGAGCTGAGAAAACAAACATCAAAGGAGCTAAATCGCCAATATTCTGTACCTAAATTGACACATATAATAAGGCATATAATAATGTAATATGAAGATATATAAACTGATTTACATTGAATCGTTTCTAATCAGTTATGTTCGGCAAAATACGCCAGAAGTTTCAACCGAATGGCAATCTCTAGCGCCTGGTTATTCCAGTCTACACCGATAGATAAGAATACGAGGTCACCGTTTGACATCATTGTGAAATATGTCTAGCCTCGTTCTTCGAGTCCCTTGTTACAAATCACACTGAAGCGCACTATGGTATTAAATATTGGATAGCAGAGGCCCATCTTTTCCGGTAAGATCACAACATCAATGTTGATTTAAATTGATTGCAATGTCGAAGACTTTGAATGATATTCAGTTAGAGACTTCCGCTACTTTAAATATACGTGGTCTGCAAAACGTTTCCATGATGTTATAACCAGTGCACTATATCAGATATTTCTTAGAGCTAAAGTGGGTTCGGGTGGCCGAGAAAGTCCCTTCCTTGTCGATGGGCCTGACATGTCGCTTGAACAGGACGAAAGCTGCAACCTCGTGTAAGCCGAGATGGCTTGCACTTATAAACGAATGCATAGATATGGGGTTTCCCATGGTGTTTCGACCCGTTTTCGAGCTTATGACAATTTGATTAAAATACAGATCTATATTTTGTTCCGTTTTCTTAAACAGTTGTAGGCCTCCACTACGTGAAGATCTGATCGGTTGTAGTAGGGGTCGCGTCAGGGCGTTTGACCCTATGACGTCAGACATTTGATTAACTCATCAGTGTTACTGTTTCAAGTGGGTACACGTATCTGGGAATACAACTTTTGCCTTGTCTTCGCTGCGAATGTCTACCTATAGTTCCGAGCACTGCACGCCACGAATTCGCCACAACAGACAATTTCGTTAGCTAATCCCTCACATCAACCAGGACGCGGGTTATAAAACAACTCTTTTAGATCCTAGGGTAGTGAAGGCAAGTACAACGAAATTTTGAACTATTAAAAACGAAACGAAATAGTATCAACTTATGACGGCATTAAAGACTGTGTATAAAGTTAAAGGATATCGGTTAGCAGCTGTAGCCTCTAGAGCATCACAAGCAATTGTACAACACGGACAGACGGGTGTGGCGACAACACACGACGACATTTCAATTCTACAAATACAGAATCTGCAAATTCATCCCCATACTGGAGTAAAAGATATCCCCGTGAAAGGTCAGAAATTTTTATGACGACGTCAGCATGTTACCCCAGCAAGTTTGGTTATATTTGCCCGCGGAGTGGCCCTCTCACTACTCTTGTATTCAAGAATGCGGGTGGATCTCTAGCCGTTGCTCCAGTGCCAGTGGGAACCGGGGCTGGAAACTCACCAAAGTTGAGAGCAGGGGGGGGGGGGGGGGTAGCCCCGGACATCCATATCAGGTGGGCATCGAATCAAAGCGAGAAATGTAAGTTTAGCCTTTTGACATTTAAAGTCAAGCTTTCTTTCTCAATCTGAATAAAAATTGTATTTCATCTTATTTTACAAGACTTGGGTCTTGTGGAGTTGGCCCAAGCATCACTAAAAATCTGCACACCAGTGTCCCCGACTGATCGATCCCAGGAACGCAATGAAGCTAAACATTTACCTATAGTTTTGTAGATTAGAGCATAAAATCGCGGCCGATCGAACCGAGAGAGTAATAAAGAACCATATTTACCTATAGTTGTGTAGATGGTTCCACAATAAAACAACGCAGTCCAAATATTCCATTTATGGTCTGTTGAAATAGTTGTTATACCATTTTTATAAGCTTCATAGATCGTTAATTCATAATTTGTCAATCTTTTTGCTACATCCGTGGTCATTTCACTCTCATTTAACCCCTGTGCTGCCTTGGTTATATTAACCAGCGCCTCGATCATTTCCTTCCTTTCTACAATAATATTTTTCTTTTCGAGTTGTTCGTGTGGCGCTTCGATGGCGCGGAAAATGAATGCACCTATTACAGTATAAACCACAAGTAAGAAAAGTAAACCCACAAGGGAGCTAACCCATGAATAGATTGTCTTTAATCCGGTTACAAACTTTCCCCAATATGTATTATTGGGAAGTTTAGCTTCATGTGGAGCAGTAGAAGTTTGGGTGTAAATGGATTCCATTGATTCCATGGTTACTGAACCTTCTGTCATGCTTTCAGTTAATGGCACAATCTCCCTGGAATGGGAACCTGAAAAATAAAATAATTTAAAGATACATTAGTTAAGAGTTTAATAAAGACTTAGTCATTCTTGCTATAATATATAATTCAAAAATAGATGATAAAAAAAGAAAATATTGAAAATTTCATTCAAATTACTTCATTCTGATCACTGTTTGTAGTTTTGATAAGATGTGTGCATAGTGGTAACCAGAGCGCTGGTATATTTGAGACTTAGCCTCGCTTTCCCATTTTTAAATTAAATGTTTAAATGGCGAACCGTTCTAATCTAGTTAAAATCTCGAGTTTCCGATGCCATCGACAGTTGAGTGTGGCTTTGTTTTGTTAATAAATGTCTAATTAATAATTTATATAACATAGAGAAAGACCTATGTTTTACCGCTTGCAATGTATGCTTAAGTAAGTAAGGGAATGAAATGAAATTGCGTTTGGTTTAAACAATATTTTATTAAGAGTACGACATATAGCACTGATATAATGGATTTGAAAACAAGCCGAAACTTACATAAATTCATCTCCATAGAATTGTGACCTGTGTATCACTTTTTTCCCAAATATTTTATTACTAGGTGGTTTTGTATGTATAATATTATGCAATACTATGAACTATTGTTTCACACAATGCTCCCAAACGCAAAAAATATGGGCCCATGTGCACACAAAAAAAAATTGCACGAGATGCACATGAAAAACCCAATATTCACGTGCACCATTGTGTGTGAGCCCTTTAAAAGCATGTTTTCAACTTAATGTGCAGTACACATTCACTGTGAAACGTCAATCTTTCGTAATTTGTTGTTAGACGTGTGAAGGAATTGATCTAGAGATGCCGAGACTTACTGAAAATCAACGGAATGAAGCCATGGGAATGTCCCGGGCTGGCATGTCTACACGTGCTATTGCCAGACACTTCAATTGTCATCAGTCCACTATTGTAAGGTTGGTGGAACGTGTTCGAGTTACTGGATCAACACGTGACCGTCAACGTCCTGGTCCACAACGCGTTACAACCCAGACTCATGTTGGAGCTATCCTCAGGGATCATCACCGTCAGCGGCGTTTGATATGGGCTCAAGTACACCAGACATGGAGAAGAGTAGACAGGCAAAGTGTGCTCTTCAGTGATGAGAGTCGCTTTCATCTTTATCACGCTGATGTCCTTCAACGTGCGTGGAGACGTCTTGGGGAACGTCTTGCAGACTGCTGCGTCTTCGAAACGAATCGATGGGGTGGGGGAAGTGTAATGGTGTGGGGAGGCTTCACATTTCATCACCGGACCGCCCTACACATTTGCAGGGGTCGCGTTAATGCTGTAGCCTACCGTGATGATGTCTTGCAACCAATTGTTGTTCCGATGTTTCGAGCGCACCAACAACTTCAGCACTTCCAACAGGATAATGCACGTCCGCATATCGCCCGTTTTAGTATAGACTACCTCGCTGCTAACAACATCAATGTCTTGGACTGGCCAGCCATGTCTCCGGACATGGCACCGATAGAAAATGTCTGGGATGAGATTGGACGCCGTCTGTATCGGAGACCACAGATGCACACCATTGCTGCTTTAGAAGCTGCTCTTGTCCAAGAATGGAACAATTTGCCCCAAGCCTTCTTTCAAACATTGGTAAATTCCATGCGACGTCGCTGCACAGCGTGCGTAAGAGCCCGTGGAGGACACACGCGCTACTGACATATGTGTCGTACTCTTGGTTTTGACCCCTCTGACTATGTACCGTTGATTACAGATTAAACATCCATAAGTGTACAAATGTGTTGTTATTGATGTGTTCCCATTTGAATATTGTTCACAATAAGAAGCAAAATAAATAAGATATGTTTACAGGATCATTTTGTTATACGAAAAACTAAGTGATGCGTTTTCCATGGCGCTCAGATTTGGTACGATTAGAGTAAACTTTTAAAAAAGCATCAATCAATCATATTGCTTATCTCTGCTTACCCTAAGCAGAAAATGCTGCTCATCTTCATAAACACCCACGCCAAGTTTGAACATTCTAGCTCAATTAGAAGGAGAGTCATTGTGTCCGAAAAAGTGTGACGGACAGACAGACGGACGGACAGACAGAAAGGCGGGGGACAATAAGACCAAGCACGAACAATCCAAACCATTAGTCCTAAAAAAAACGATATAAGCAAAATAGTGTAAACAGCAAACGAACTGTCACCGTGTTCAAAATACACGACAAACAGTGTAGTGGTAACAGAGCGTTCTTTGTTTACATTCATGGGGTACTGTCTTGTGAGTTCAACCATTCGGTCATTTTGAGTGAAATTTCTCTAAGAAATACTTGCACCACTGACAATGAGAGGGGGGAAACCATGCTGAAAAATCCCGAGGTACTTAATTCGCGGCCAACACGTGGATCACACCCGGTCGGTCTTCTTAGTGATCCAGTGCCTTGTTCACCGTGCTACCATAGTTTGATCTAAATATTAAGGCCAACTGAAGACTTCGTCAATGTCGCGAGATGTAATTAGGGTTAGGTTTAAGAATTTGGGGGAGAGACTGGATAAGACACCAACCTATAAAAATGAAATGGGGTTTAACGTCCTATTATTCTGCTCCGACTCGGCTAATGAAGACGGACATACGCTATACAGTGTGCTATGAAGGAAATTTTGCCCTGACAGCCGCACTATAACCTTCTTTTTTTTTTTATCAAATTCAAACTGCCAATGGATCTTTTACGTGCACGCCCATGTAAATACAGGACCTCGGTTTTTCGTTCCATCCTAATCTGTCCTTGTCAGGCCCTCCACACTGCACAACTGACAAAGGAAAACCACGTCGGAAAATAGAGAAGAACTTTCTCGGCCAATGCAGGGATCGAACACGCGACCTCCGGGTTAGTGAGTCAGCGTCTTACCCACTTAGCCACTGTGGCTCCTATAACAGTTAGAGCCCTAGAGAATATACTGTATCACGCAGTAACACTGAATTACTGAATTATTCATAAAATGTTATTTTCAAAATGGCAATGATAACACTACCAAAACCACTTAAAGGATATAATCCCCGAGTGGCATCTAGCACAATAAAACACACAACACAATTTATATGGAAAATATTCACTGGTTTGTACACATATAACGACGTTTCGACAAGTGTTCTCTTCTCTTATCGTTATCAAGAGATATAATCACTGTTGTTGGTGTCCAATTGTCCCGAGGTCATTTTTAACTCTGTACTTTCTAATTCTGAATGCATAGGCGTACGAGAAAGGGGTATATTAGACCACTTTGAAGTTGCTTTGTGCACGGGCTGGAATAACAGGAAAACGCGTTTGCGGCAGTCAAATATTCCAAAATTTTCCTTGGGAGGGCGGGGCATACACGGTAAGCTCCACTTCGTCGCCTCTCACAGACCACAGGCGCCTTTGTCTGTAAATCCGAAATGTTTTCGGGCATTTCGGGTTCTGCCCCCCCCCCCCCAAAAAAAAAAACTGTCATTGAGCTCGTACGCCTATGTCTGAATGTCATATTGTACTTTTGTTGGTTGTAACAAGGTTAGAGTGTGGTCTATGCATATTCATGTCATATTGTCCATATAGATCCATAAAAAGATCTTTATCAAGGGTGTTTTTTTTTTGTTTTTCTTTTGTCTATACAATATAAAACCCAGTAAATGTCAAACGAATAGGAATCCTGTTTTTTAACCATTAATGTATGTCGTAAACTGTCTGTGATACTATATGATCAATGAAAGGGAAAAAATGAAATAGGGTTTAACGTTCTGCTGTTCTGCTCCTAACCTGGGCTAATAAAGACGGGTATACGCCATGCAGTGTGCTATGAGGGAAATTTTGCCCGAACAGCGGTACTACGGCCTACTCATGTATCAAATTCCAACTGTCAAGGGATCTTTTACGTGCACGCCAATGTGTACACGCGACCTCGGTTTTTCGTCCCACCCGAACGACTAGACAGTTGTCCTTGTCAGGCCCCCCGCCCTGCAAGGGAGAACCACGCCGGAAAATCTGGATGAACTTTCTCGGCCAATGCAGGGATCGAACACTCGACCTCCAGGCTAGCGAGCCCCGCTAACCAGTAACGTCTGTCGTAACGTTAACTCCAAGTTTTTTACAAGAATATTCTTTGGATTTCTCAGCCTTTCTCAGAGAAGGCCTTATAAAGAACAGCGTCTTCTCGTTCTCGTGCATGCGTATATATATGTAGGCAACACTTCTCTCCAGAAACACTGCACTGAGGGACAATTTACTTCGACAACAACTGTCAGTGGTTCTTCTTCGTACACGCCACGAACATACGCGAGGCCCTCGAACGACTAAACGTTTGTTTCGTGACCAGACAAGGAGGATGAATACAAGCTGGAAACTCCCGAGGATTGTTCTTGGCGACCACCGCGACCCCCTGGTTATTGAGCCAGCAATTAATATCACTTCTATTTTCGGACCATCGGAAAGATTAGTCGCGTTTGTTTGCCAGATCCATCGTTCTGCACCAGACTGGAAAACGACCGAGAAAACGAACCGGGCACAGATCATTAGCTCCTACATATAGCCGGGTGTGAAAATCGATATTATCTCCTATAATGTATAGGGGGGTTGGAAGCCAGAAAAAATACCTGCCTCAATCAGAGTTAGCTCTTACATAAGGGGGGTTGGATGGTCGAATGTATCGGCCATGCGCGTTTTATCATAAGTTCTATCATTGAGTCAACTTGCGTGGTTTCGATTCCCTGGTTGTATGTGACAAGGAGTAGGGTCGCCTGTCCAGCCTCGTTGGTCCAGCCTCCAGTTTCATCCCACTGCTAAAGACCCCTACGCGTAAGCAGATTATTAAAATAAAATTGAACCATGTTTTAGTCCCGAAATAACTTAATTTGTGTCGAGTGGACGTTAACCCCCCCTCTCCCCCCTCTCTCTCTCTCTCTCTCTCCCCGATATTTATAGCTTGTACTAATAGCATGTTGGTATCAGTAAACTGAATTATCTCTAAGTATTTACAACTGATACTAATAGATACAC